AGGAATTTATCGATCCTCTCCTGCCAATCCCCGGCGTCCATCTTGGTGAGAGCTTCCTTGGTGAGCCTCACCATCCTCTCAACTTGCCCATTTCCAGCCGGCCTGTATGGGGCAGTGAGGGCATGGCGGATGCCCAACTCGGCCAGGAATGATTCCCTCGGCTTGGCGGTGAGCTGTGGCCCGTTGTCCGACACCAGGACGTCCGGAATGCCGTGGGTGGCGAAGAGTCTGCGCAGGGCCCAAACAGTTGCCTCAGTGGTGATGGTGGCATTTGGATGACCTCCAGTCATTTGGAGAAGGCATCCACCACGATGAGGAGGTAGTTGATAGAGCCTTGATAGTACAGTGGTTTAGTGCACCCTGTTATTAACACAGCTGCCTGCAATTTCTGCTGGTTCGAATCTCTCCAAGGCTCAAGGTTGACTCAGCCTTACATCCTTTCTAAGGTAGGTGAAATGAGGACCCAGTTTGTGGGGGCAATAAGATGACTTTGTATAAAATATACAAAAGAATGAAGGCTATTGCTTAACGCATTGTAAGCCGCCCTGAGTCTCCGGAGAAGGGCGGCATATAAATCAAATTAAAAAAAAAATTGCCTGCCATAGGCCCCACAAAGTCGATGTGAACGCGGGACCAGGGGGCACTAGGCATCTCCCATTCTGCGGATTGGGCTTGTGCTGGTGCTGGTCTGACCTCCTGGCACAGGGCGCATCTGGAGACCCATTGCTCAATGTCCTTGTCCAGGGTGGGCCACCAGACGTAGCTTCTGGCCAGTGCCTTCATCTTCACAATGCCCGGGTGCCCATTGTGAAGGATCTCCAGGGTCCTCTTCTGCAGCGGTCGCGGTATCACTACTCTGTCACCCCAGAGTAGGCAGCCCTTCATCGTTGAGAGTTCGTGCTGCTTTCTTAAGAAAGCGCTGAACTCTTCGCCCACTTTTTCTGTTGGCCAACCCCTCAGGACCCAGGACATGACTTGCCTGAGGGTCTTTTCCTTCTTCGTGTGGGCTGCCACGTCCGTGGAAGATACTGGACACTGCAGGTCTCCGTCGATATGGAAAAGGTCGAGGGTGAGTGAGGGGTCTTCCACCAGTTCCTGCTTTGGGCACCTACTGAGGCATCTGCGTTACTGATGGTTTTGCCGGGTCTGTGTGTGAGAGTGTATGCAGCCAACTTCTGCAGTGCTGCCACGAAGTCCTTTATGGATTCGCCCTCCTGTTGATTCCGTTGGCTGAAGGTGAATCTGTTCACCATCGGTGTGCCAGTCGGGGCGTAGTGTTCCTGGAGAACGTCTTGGAGGTCGCTCCACACCATGGTCTCGATGTCCTGGGGTGTCACGAGGTCGATGGCCATCTCCAGGACTGCCGATCCGCAATGTGCCAGGAACAAGGCTCATTTGCGGTTGTCCTCCAGGTCTTCATAGCCGTTGCTGGTCAGGAATTGGAGGAACCTAATCATATAGGCTTTCCATTTCTCCTGATCAGGGTTGAATGGTGCCAGCGAGATTTGTGGCACTGCCATGGTTCTCGTGCTATCAGCTCTAAGTGACTCCAGCTCAGTGATTTGCTCTGTTGAATCGGGCTGGGTGGCAATCGTGCCACGAGGTTCTTGAAATCCTTTGTCGCCAGTGTTAGATTGGCACAGGGAAAGAATACGCGAGCAGCGAGTGGTCCGTTCAGCACTTTATTAGCGAGAATCAGAACAGCCAACTGTGCTGCTGGGCTCGCCTTATAAAGGGAGCCGGCAGGCAAGCCGGCCAATCACAGATCTTCAAATCTCCCGCCGGTGGACTAGCCAATCTGGCGGGGATGCCCATATACGGACATAACAATGAACATCTAAAAAAATTAAGGCATTTTGGATAAAAAATATGGTGGATTATTCAAAATATTCTCAAAAAGAAGATAAAATTTACTCCACAGTTCTTTTTGTTAGGTATAATTACAGATTGTACGGTTATAGAGACTAAATTGATTTTAAATTTAATAACAGCAGCCAGACTTTTGGTGGTGCAGTATTGGAAGAAGGAAGACTTACCTACTATTGAAGAATGGATATTAAAAGTAGTGAATTTAGCAGAGATGGCAAAAATTTTGGCATATTTGAAGGACCACTCAAACGAAAGATATATATCGGAATGGAGAAGATGGATTGACTATATTCAAAACAAATATCCGACTAAAAAGCTTCAAATAGCTTATGAATGAAACCAACTTTTTCTTTTTGAATTATGTTTTGTTAGTGGACAGGGGAGTTAAAAAGCAAGACAGAGTTTGGAGCCTATAGAAAGTTAGCATATTTTAGTTTATGTTTCGTAAATGCTATACCCTGTATTTGCTCTGGAAAGTCCGGGGTGGGGGGAGGGGGTTGGAGGGAGAGGGGGGAATGAGTAAGGTGATCAGATGTCCCGCTTTTGGCGGGACAGTCTCGATTTTCAGCAATTTGTCCCGCGTCCCGCGGCGTTTTAAAAAAGTCCCAATTTTTCATTCTGCCTCCTGAGCCCCAGCTGATGGCTAGAGGGAAAAAAAACTGTTTAAACTCTTGCCATGGGGCTTCAAAGGGCCGCCCTACAGGTGATCAGTGTAAAGAGTTCCTGGAGCAGATTTTTTTTCCCCTAGCTATGCTGAAAAAGTGAAAGCGAAAGCAGGGTCTTTGGTGCAACGTGACAAAATGAGGCAGAGAGAGATTTCTTTTTCTTTTTCCTCACCAAAACAGGTAGGTGCAACACTGCAAACAATGGGAAATTTAGGAGGAGAGTTCAAGATTTTAAAACACAAAAGAAAAAAAGCTCTATTTAACTAGGGAATTGTAATAATTGAGATATTAATTGTATATTGTGTTGAAAGCAGAAATGGTTAACTTGTGGTTTGGAGGAATATATGGGGGAAATTATTTGGTTTATTATTATTGGTAAATATAATTAATTGATTTGTAAGAAATTGGATTGCATGGAAATAATTGGAATATTCATGTTCATATTGATATACAAAAAAGATAGTTATATAACTAATTGATTTATATTAAAATGTTGAATTTGTATTAAACAACTGTATTACATAATTACATAATTAACCAATGTGGGGATGGATATAAAAATAGATGACAATGGGAAGGGGTATAATATAGAATAGAAGGGAAAAATTGAATTTGATTAAGATTAGAGATGAAGATGAAGGCTAATATTGTTTTTTTTTAAAAAATAGATGAGGAATAAATATGGCAAAAAGGAAATATAGAAATCGTAAATTTAATTGAAATGACTAAACACTGTTTAAATTTGTGAACCAGCCAAATATTCTGTCCAAAGAAAATACATTGTATGTTTGTATGTGTGTTTCTAATTATTGTTATTTATTCATATTTGTTCTCTTTTATTCTTTAAAGTTTAACAATTCATTCTTTATCTTAATATCTTTATATTTGTTTGGGGTTGGCTTTCTTCCCTTTCATCTTTTTTATTGTACAGCAATTTTTCTCCTCAAACCTACCACCTCTCTCTTTTCTTTCCTTCTTACTTTCTCTTCCCCCCCTCTTCTTCTCCTTCCTACTTCCTCTTCCTTTCTCCTTCTCCTCTCTTCCTCCCTCTCTTACCCTCACTCCTACTCTAATTTCCCTTCCCTTCCTTCATCCTCTCTATTGCTGTATCCTTTTATGCATATGGACTACTCAGAGGGCTGAAAAAGTTATTTTTGACTAGTCCTCACACTTTTGACCAGTCCTCGAACTTACGACTGTCCTCACATTTTACGTTTTTTGCCCTATCTTATCACCATGGTGAAGAGAAGCAGTTGTGAAATGAGTGACATGGTTGTTAAGAATGCTGCACAGGCATAAATGTGAGGATGGTCATAAGTGTGAGGACCAGTCAAAAGTGTGAGGACCTGTCAGAAATGACTTTTTTCAGCCCTCTGAGTAGTCCCTATACACATAGCCATGGCCACCCGGTCACATGACCAGCTAGCCACGCCCACCCAGTCACATGACCAGCTAGCCACACCCACAAAATAAGCCACACCCACAATGGTGTCCCTCTTTACCAATGTTAAAATCTGGTCACCTTAGGGATGAGGGATGGGGGGTGGGTGGAGGAGGGAAGAGGGGTGAGGAGGGATGGGGAAAAAATTGTTGTAATAAAACTTTTTAATAAAAAAAAAAAAGGCAAATTCAGAACTGCCAAGGCTTAGTGCTAGAATCTAACTTATTCTTTCAATTTAAACCACTGAGATTTTTAGTTTAATCTGCAATAAGCTCAAATTGGAAAATGGACAAATGCATCACACTAAAAATGGTCAAGGCTAATGCAATCAGAGGATAATCCAAAAGCACTATTTCTAAGAATTTTTTTCCCCAAAGCATACATATGAAAACAAACTTCTTTCCGAAATGGTTACGATGGAACCTGTAATACATGCAACTTCAATGGCTGGAAGTTAACAGTTTCTTAAAATTTCAATATTTGTGAAATACATTTTGTTCCTTGCAATTTTCTTCACAATGGATCTTGCCTTGTTCAATAAAGGTTATTCCATAGTAAATGGACATAAGTAACAACCTCTCAGTTGTGCTTATCAGCTGAGATTAAAAAATAATAGAAAAGGATAACTAAAACATGTGATCTGAAAGATATCTAAAAAAAGGACAGCATTATTTTTCCTCCTGAAAAATAAGTCACTTATTTTAATACAACAAAAATATTAAGAAAAGGACTGAATAGTTGAATAATAGGTTACATCACTTTGCATATTAGACATAGGTCTTTTGTACCTTTTGTTAATTTATGCCTAGAAATTTTAAGCATTTCAATGAATGAAGAGTAACAGAAAAAAAAATATACTGCTTCTGTGTCAGTAGAAACACATTTTGTACCCATTTTGTACTCCTTTTCTGCTTATTCAGCTCCTGCTGTAATTTTTTTTGAAACCAAAGAAACTATTAACAGTAGAGTTGTGTATGTGTGATCAAGTGTCTGCATGCATGTACATTATTTTCAGGTGAACTAACCTTGCAGGCAGAGGGGGGTCTGCTTTGCCAGCAACCAGCCAGGAAGATCTATGGTAGGCATATCTGTATCTCTTATTGTCCACTGGAACTATATCCATGAGCACAATGAACTTGGCTTCTGGATCCATGCCAGAAAAGGAAACCCTAATGGTTGGAAACATTCTTCTGAAACAGAAAGAATGAAATGAGAAAAAGAATATGTAAAGAGAATAATCCCTCACAACTGATTTAAGAAAAAATGGCCTTGCAGCATGAGAGGAAGGGAGGGGGGAGGGGGAGGGAGGGAGGGAGGGAAGGAGGGGAGGGAGAGGGAGGGAGGGAGGGGAGAGAGAGAGAGAGAGAGAGAGAGAGAGAGAGAGAGAGAGAGAGAGAGAGAGAATGTAATCTTTGTATGTTGGGGATTTTAAAAATAAGCCATTTCGCCTTATTCATTATAAGGACAATGGGCTCAGACTGTGTTATAATTGACACATATGTCTGCCTTTCTTTCTTCTGGAAGAAATACTGGCATACTAATTTCACAAAAGGAAGGGAGGCAGGTAAGCATCTCAGAAGGCAATGGAGATTCATTCTCAAGAATTACAGCCATTTTCAAAAGAGGAATAATATACCATAGTAATCAACTAAATAGAGACTGTGCAAACACAGAGGGTACTTTTGTTGACAGACAATTTATGGGCATAGAACCTAACACTGACATCAGATGCATTTTTCTACACATCTAATTTTACAATATAGAAATAGTTGTAACTCTGGACCTTCTCAATGTTGAAGAAAATCACAGATTTAATATGACTGAATAGCTGAATTCAAACAGGAAAGTGGAAGCAAAATAAGTTTTTATTGATCTGATTAACTGGTTTGGATTTATATTTTGCTAATTTTCCAATAATTGCATAGGGGAAGCTCCTTCTTGGTATGTATTTTGGTCTGCTATTTTTAAAAATATTCAGCATTATAAGGGGTGGGTGGGTTTGCTGAAAAAGTGCCATATTCCACCTTTACAGGTACAAATTCTGAAAAAAATATCTGATTTTCATATATCTATTGTGCAATAATTCAGTTACCAATTATCAGTTACTGGTAATTATCAGCTCCTGCCCACCTAACAGTTCTAAAACATGCAAATACATGCAAATGCCAATAGATTAATAGGTACCATTTCGGTGGGAAAGTAACAGCATTCCGTATAGCCAGGCTGGCCATGTGATCATGGAAAATGTCTTCAAATAACACTGGCTCCCTTGATCAAGAAATGGAGATGAGCACAGCGCCCTAGAGTAGGTCACAACTGGACAGGGAAACCTTTATCTTTACCTAACTACCTATGTCTGCAATTTCTTCATTTTTAACAGTATTTAAAAATGTTGGAATGGACTTTGTAGGTCTTCTAGTCCAACCCCCTGCCAAGCAGGAGATCCTACACCATTCTTGACAAATGGCAGTCCAATCTCTTCTTGAAATTTTCAAGTGATGAAGCTCCCACAACTTCCGAAGGCAAACTGTTCTATTAGTGTTTTCTGATTGTTCTATCAGAAAATTTATCCTTCTCTCCTTGTTCAGTTTCAATCCATTATTCCTTGTCTGGCCTACAGGTGCCTGGGAAAATAGCTTGACCCTTTCCTCTCTGTGGCAGCCACTCAAATATTGGAACACTGCTATCATGTCTCCTCTGGTCCTTCTCTTCACTAGACTAGCCATGCCCAATTTGTGTAACCGTCCTTCATATGTTGTAGTCTCTAGTCCCCTAATCATCCTGGTTGCTCTTTTCTGCACTTTTTCTAGAGTCTCAACATCTTCTTTATAGTGTAGTGACCAAAATTCGATGCAGTACTCTAGGTGTGGTCCTACTAAGGCTTTATAGACTGGTATTACTATCTCACTTGATCTTGATTGTATCCCTCTATTAATGCAATTTAGGATTGCATTGGCTTTTTTGGCTGCCGCCACACACTGCTGGCTCATATTTAGCAGTTGTTCACTAAGACTCCAAGATCCCTCTCACAGTTACTGATATTAAGCCTGGTTTCACCCAGTCTATATATCTACTTTTGGTTTTTCTTGCCTAAGTGTAGGACTTTACTTTTCTCTACATTGAATTTCATTTTGTTAGATAGTGCTCAGTGTTCAAGTCTGTCAAGATCCATCTGGATCTTGAGCCTATCTTCTAGGGTGTTAGCTATTCCTGCCAGCTTAGTACCATCTGCAAATTTGTAAGTTCCCCTTTTATTCCCTCATCTAAGTTGTTTATGAAGATATTGAAGAGTACTGGGCCTAAGACAGAACCTTGTGGCACCCCACTGTTTACTTCCCTTCATGTAGACATAGACTCATTAAGGACTACTCATTGAGTACGGTTTGTCAGCCCATTGCGAATCCATCTGGTGGTAAAGCTATCTCCCACTTTTTTCTAGCTTACCAAGAAGTAGATTGTGGTCTACTTTGTCAAATGCCTTGCTGAAATCTAAGTATATTATGTCCATAGTATTTTGCTGGTCTATTAATTTAGTCACTATGTTGAAGAATGAAATAAGATTGGTTTGGCATGATTTGTTTTTAACAAACCCATGCTGATTGCTAGTTATTATATTACTTGATTCTAGATGCTGGCAGATCTGGTTTTTTATTATCTTTTCCAGTATCTTCCCAGGTATTAATGTTATAGTATTAATGTATATTGACCCATATGCATTCTAGGAGGTTTTCGTCTTTGGTTTCATGCATTTCTGTAGCAATATAGTGGTCCTTTACATAAAGTGCAACTGCAGCTCCTCTTTTATGAAGTCTGAGGGTTTTTTTTGTAAGGTTTGTATCCTTCTATGAGTGTGTTCCAGTCATGGGTTGCATCCCATCAAGTTTCTGTTATTCCCAATTATATCATATCTACCTTCATGTATCAGTAGTTTGAGTTCATCCTTTTTGTTCCCCAGACTTTGTGCATTTGTATATAGGCACTTGAGATCTTTATGTCTGATGCTGGGTATGCTTCCTGTGTCTCTTATTTAGTGTTTGAGTTTTCTTCCAATTTGATGTCGCTAAATACAATTCTCTGTTCCACACATTGCATCACTCAATGCATTGATGAAGTGGAATCCAAACTATTAAAGCTTATGTCATAACAATAAAGTCCAATTATGTTAATGATTAAGGTGACAATTCAATACACCCCATTTCTTTACCTTCCTTTTTCATTAATTTTTAGGCTTCCTTGAGTTCTTACATCTGTTATGAATTATGCCTTTATAGTTGGCAGTGCCAACTATAACTCTTGCAGACCAAAAAAATGTCTGCCAAACATTTCTGTGAAAAACATTCATAATTAGTATCTAAATTAGGGGCATTTGTCTCAAACAACTTGTGACCAAGTTGGATGTCATGCCAAAATATTTTACAAGAATCTTTCAAGCAACGTCCTCCCAAGATTTTTTTTTAAAAGCAAGTAAATATTTTCCATCTGCATCTAATTTATACCTTTAATTTAATGTGGCTTAATAACTACTATAAATGTTTTTAAAAACAGTTTTCAATAGTTTTCCCCTACCAGTATTAAACATCAGGAAACTGACTTACAAGAGGCTCATTGTGAGAATAAAATGACAAGGAAATAATTAATTATTATTCTGAGCCCATGAAGGAAAATAATGGGATATTAATAAGATCAGGTAAAGTACTTTGATTGCCTTCCTTTGGTCAGTACCATTGATTTGCAAGGATGACTGTACTGTAAATCAGCATGAAAATAAGAGCCAAGATTCAAGATGTTCTCCCATACTACCCTCTAATTTAGCCTGGATTGTTTGTTTGGTTTTTCTTGAAGGCCACTATAACAAAAGTATAGTTTTTATCATACTTAGGACCATGAGTAGTATTTAGCTACTCAGCAGGATTACAGAGTAAACTGATACAGACAATCCAGTGAGAAATAAACAAATACATTAAATTGTCCTGCAAATTTCTTTTAGCTCCGGATGGAACTCCTATTTGAAGCAGATACTAATGGCAGAAATAAGAAAACAATCTAACAAAACTAGTGATCATTCCTTTTATAATGTTATACATTTTGTCCTAAACAATGTCATAACTCTTCCATTTATGTGCAGATTGGAGTGTGGGAGCAGGGAACAACAAAAGTATTGGCACAGTAGAAGTAATGTTGCAGAGTCTCTGGTATGCACCAATATTTAATGAACATTTTGGATATGATTCTGTGCAGAGTAGAAAGGCTTCTAGACTCTGATGAATTAATTTTTCCAAAGTGTAATACTGGCTTTACTTTCCTAGTTGTAAATACAGTGTGTATTGAATTCCTATCATCCACAAATAACATATTTATTTAATCTAAATCTAATCTAATCTATTATTATCAACTCACCAGTTGGGGCTGAGCAGACTGGTTAACATGTCTAAGGTCTGGGATGGCTGTTTTGATCTTCAAAATTGTCTCAATTCTCTTTGTTGTTTAGATTGCAAGAAACTAAAAATAGCTACTTCTGTGGAAATTGTTTCTGGTAGAATTCTCTCTATATCACCTTCCTCATTTTACAAGGGTTCAATCTAATTCATAAATTAGATTTGTTTCATTAAAATTATGGCATGTTTTACAAAGATTTCCAGTTTAGTCACTCTAATGCTTTCACCTAAACATGCTTTTCTATTTCAAATGTCTTATTTTTATTTTACCCCAAATAAAAATTCCACTGAAGATTTGCAGTACATATTAATATACCAATGCAGTATATCTCCTCAAATTGAAACAAAGTAGTGGGAGACAATTTCTGATGGCTTACATTATATATAAATGAGAGATAGTAACTTTTCAGAGTCTGCTGTGAGTTATAAGGGCAAATGTCCAATGTATGTTTATCTCTGTGAGACTTTGACATCAACTGACTATTAGTGTTTGTGTGAAACAGCCATCACAGATCAAAAACAGACCAAAAACACTCCACGGTATCTGACAACACTTCAAATGCAACACTTTTCTGTGGTGGTAATTATTCATTCAGCTGTGTGTCACACAGTGCTGTGGTATAATAAAGCAATGATACAGTGAACAAATCAGCACCACTTTATTGTCTGACAAGATTTCTAGCACAGACTGGATGTTTAAATAATGGGAAGGATACATCTGGCTTCCCTTCCAGGCCTGTTCCTAGACAATTTACCCATTTTAAAGTAACTAAGCAAATGTTTTCTTCCATAAAGTCAAGTCAATCCATTTTTCATTAAAAGTCAACTCAAAGCTGACTTCCTGTAGCCATGTGCCTGGTGGTGATTTCCATGGAGCTGATACATATCTGAGTATGCTGCCCCTGGGAACTAGATAATAATGCTTTTTAAAAAATTCCTATATTTTTACTACTTCAAATATATGACTCCATGCAGCATACAGACCAAGGTCATTATAAAAACAATTGAGCTGCTCAATACTATTAGAGGCCTAATTACCCCCCCCCCCAAAAAGCAGTGCTCTTCTGAATGCTAGGAGGAAGGAGGTTAACCATAGCTCTGGGGCAGCTCTGAGGTGTCAGGGCAAATAGAGAATTGAACAGAACACAGTGTTTATTGTATATTAGCCTGACCTAGCTGAAGCTGTGCTAAAACTACAAATTCCAGAAATCCCAGCAATTATCAATTTTGCTAGATAATTCCAGAAAATTATCACACATCTGAATGGTATCAGCTGTGGGCAAGATGCCCTAAACCCTGCCAAGCAATATTCCAGTCTTACCTTCCTGATTTTGTGATTATCATCTCAGTCCCTAGTTCGTGGAATTTGTCCCAAAGCTCTTTGGTTTCCAAATTGCAGGAGATCTTAGCCATCTCCTCACTAGGGATAACTGGGGTGGTGGGGATTAGTGGCTCTGTGCAGAGAGAGGAAGGGCTGCTACTGCTGGTGAAATCCCCATGGGTATCCAAGTTTGGCAAATCACTCAGAGGCTGAGAACAAGATGATTTCTCCACGAATTGCTCTGAAAAGAGGACAAAAAGAAAAGCAAGAGGCTGGTGAGAAGATCCACCATGGTTTTGTGTGTGGGATGGCTGCAAGAAGCTGATATATGCTAACCTTCTCCAGAAAATGAAACAAAAGGGCCCGGATTGATCAATTTTATGCAATAAATTTGCTCCAATGTCTGATAATCACAGCAGCTTTTGTGAACTCAGCTTTTAATAAAAATTGTTAGTTGGAAAATATACTGCCAGACTCCTGATATTTTTCCCCTAACACAGCTTTCTTCTTACAATGGGAATCAACATGTGGGAAAGGGGTGGGAAAGGGAGAAAAAGAAAGAAAGATGTCATCTAGTGGGGTTCTGCTTCTGTTTTTCAATCTTGTTGATTCTGCAAAATTTTAATTCAGAAAAAATAAGCCTATTCTCCAAATATATTTGCAGTTATGTTATAAAGAATTCTGCCCATTTCTCCAGAACAGACCAATTTACAGTATTCCCCTGAGTGGCAAAGTGCCAATGCCAGTGAATAGAAGGATTCATAATGATCTCTATCTCTACCCTCCAGTTGAAAAGTTCAAAAGCAAAATCTGGTAGAAAACACAGGAACTAACTGTTTAGGTAGAAGCATTCACGGGTATATGCAATTCCTAGTTGATTTTTATCCTTGCATACAAAAAGCTAGACTATCAGAGCAGCTACTATATCCAGTACACTTATAGAGATACTTGCTAGTTAAACAGAGAAGCATTTACTTGGGTCAGCATTCAGTAACAAAATTCTAGAGCAATTTGAGCATCTCACAAAATATTGGGAAGTCAGAATCATTCCAACAGGGAGGGTGGCTTTTATATGTCTTTACTTTCAATTATTTTGAGGGGAAAAAAGATTTTCCTACATGAATTGCCCAGAAGAATTTTAGATCACACATAGCTAGTTGCAGTGTGCATCCACTTCTCTTGTGGGAAACAACTGAAAAGTGAAAATAAGCCATAACTGATCCATCATTGATGGACAATAGGACTACTGCTGGTGTTAAATAATACTTTGGGAATTCCCAGAATCTTGATCAGAAATCCCATTGATTTAATTGGGGGTTGTCTTTAGGAAACTTGTTGGATATATGTTACATATCTGGTTTACAGATTTGTAACATATATCTCTGGTGACAGCCCTGTCACCAGGCCCCACTTCAACAACCTTTAGATTTCAGAAGTATATTTATTCATTTTAAATTTTCTAGAGGTCAGTGAGCATAATGACATTTAATTTCAATGTGTGATGCAGATTAAATATGTGGTCACTTCCCTCCAAAAGTGGCTGCTTGTAGAAGAGGCTTACTCACTTAACCATAACTTAACCATACTTGATTCACTTCATGCCAGTTTTCTGGAAACACTGCTCAACATAAATGAATCAAGGTAGGTAGGTTCATACAACCCACTAGCTGCTGACATTGCACAAATCTGCTTGCAAGATTGTTAGAAGAAAAGCAGAATGGAAAACCCTGCCCAGTACTTTGAATTGTTAAAGAAAAATCTATAATTAATATAGATGAACTTTGTGCAAAATAATTGCAGACACACAATCTTTCAGTCAAAATGAACTCTTGAAACCTTTACTTCATTTTACTCTGATCTGACTTTCCCTTCATTAGGAAGATGAGGCTGTATGAAGTAGTGGTTAAAGTGGAGGATCAAGTTTAAAGAAACTAGATTCAAATCCTGGTTTCTGCCAGAAGCTGATTTGGAAGTTTTTAGCTCAAACTTTCAGAATTGTCAAGATAAAAAGGAAACAGAGACAACCTTAAGCTCCCTGAAGGAAGGACAGGCTACACATTCAATTAAAAGACAAAAATAGAAAAAGAATTGAGGAGATGGTTTACTAGGTGTGGTGATGGAGTGGAGAGAGCCAAAAAAACATGGTCACTCCAACAATTGTCAAGATACCCAGAAGGCAGTCCACCTAGTTCAAAGCTTCCAGAAACCATTTAGTCGTCAGGTGAACATCATTTTAAAACTAGAAATCGCTCCCAATCTCCCCAAGGACAGCAAGGATCTGAAAAGAGGATGCTGCAGGATAAGGGAGGGGGACTGGCTCCTGGACTAATGGGATCCACATCACGTAAATACATTACATTGGTTACATTATGTTGGTTTCCAAATCATGGGAATCAGAGAAACAAATGAGTGAAATGTGCAGGACAATCTTCGGCATTTTCTCATGAGTGATTTACAACTTCAGCTGGTTGCAATGGTTGGGTGATGCTAGAAATCACAATCAGCTTTCAGCACTCTACAAATTTAGCCGAGGTTACTTTTTCCTAAGTAGATGCACACCAGACAGCAGTTTGGAAATGTCCAGTGCCTGCAAAATATTAGGCCCGCTATAAAGGGCTTCTAGAGAATTGTGACATTGATTAAACAGACCAATGACTAACGAAGACTGACTGATTTTCCTGGAATCCCTAAGACTGAAGACAATCCCAGTCCGGATTTTCCCAGGGCCAGGCTCCTGGGAAATAAACAGCTCACAACAATTCCAGCTGTTTGAAATGTGCCTTATTGGCCAAGTCCATGTAAAAGCTGAATTCGCCTACTTTTGACAGCCCGAAATCAGCATGTCTGAATCAGTCCAGCATGAAATTATATTCCTTTCATACTGTTATTTACCAAGAACAAAAAATAATACTCTTGTCCAAGAAATTAATGGTAATAAAGGAATGGTAATAAAGGAAAAGAGTTCATTTTTCTGCAACTCTGCCGAACTAACCTGGCCGAAAATAACATTGTTCACCAATCCCACCTCTAACTCAGCCAACAATAGAACCTTCCTGATCTCAAGCCTGCATCTCAGCCTTAATTGCAAATCTTTCTTAATTAAGACTGCGGTGGAATCTGAAAAGCAGAAATCCATTTCTAACCCAGAAGTTACACTAGAAAACTTCCTCACTTAATCAAGCAATTGTAAATTTAAATAAAATCTAGCAGCATTGGGTCAGCATCTGCATAGGTGTGCTGCCTAGAAGATATTCAGCAGTTAGAACTCCTGATAATAATAGAAGGAATTGGATTGGGCCACTGAACCACTTAGCCCAGATCTAAAGGACAGAAATCCCTTGTTGCCCTTTAGAGAAATGTGGCAAATAACTTACTTCATGCTCATCAAATAAATGTAGCAAAGCTTGGAAGGTTTATTTGGCTTGATGGGATAGGAGAAGCTTGGGTGGATCTAAGCGAGCATCCCACTGATGTCAACAGAATTGGTATATCTGCTTTTGAATGAATAAAATTCCCTGGACAAATTCCAGATTTGGAAACAGGTCAAACACAACAGTGTGGAACCTAATACTTTCAAAGACTTCATACACAGAGATCAACAGGGACAGGACAATGTTTGGGCTTAACAAATAAAGCAGAATATCCCCTATCTCTCCCACAGCTCATTTCCCATCCTCTGGTATGAAGTCTAGTATTAGAACTTAAAGCATCTCTGTATAATTTGGTTCTAATGAGTATTTGAGAGTTGATTCTGAAGTTCTTTTTATTTTTCTTTTGAAAATTGAAATGAAAGGAAGAAACTCACATTTTTTAGGACCCCAGCTTGGAGAAAGACAGATATGCGATCACACTCTTTTTTATAGCTAAAAACAACAGCAACTATTTTCTGTCTTTCCTACACTTATCAGAGCTCAAACCTAAAAAAAACTTTCCCAAAACTTCATCTCCAAGAAGATAAAAGAAAGCAGTTTAGGGCATTTTTTAATTCTCTAATGTTAATTAAAAAGGAATTTTTTTCCATACAGAGGTTTCATTTATATGGTCGCTTTTTAACATAAGACATAAGTCTGAATGTCCATCAAGAGCTTACACCGGCCCAATGTCTGATTTTTTCAACATAGACCAAATGGCTGGGTGGACGGAGATTAACATTTGAACTACTATAAATCCATGTATTTGCCATAAGCTAAATAAATAAAACATAAGACTGAGTTTTTTTCTATTTCTCTTTGAAAAACGTGTTTAACTTTTCTAAAATTAATTCTCTAGTAGTTAGGAAGGCAGCTAACAAAGCAGAAAAGAGAAGCATTTGTTTTTTTTGCTCAACAATGTTTGTAAAGAAAGTGCTATGTCAGCAAAACAGAAAATTGTGGAAAAAATGTTTAAAGGAAATAACTTGAGGAAATTTTACTTTTCTTTAGGAAATCCATCGAGGCAGGGATCTATTAAAATTTGTGAAAAGTACTGCCAACTCATTCAGCTTCAGTCATTTTTTAAAGTTCGTGCCCTTAAGTTTGTACATCGTTTCAAGACTGACAACAATTTCTCTTAAAAATCATGGGGACATTTCCAATTGGAAATCTTAAGGATCTGGCAATTAACTGGCGAATTTAAAGCTCCAATCGAGAATTGTTTATTAGGTAAAAAAAAATCCCCTTAAATTCAGCCAGGATTTTTGGTAAATACAGCAATTCGTTCTATGTGATTGCGTTTCTCTATCACCAATATAGTGCGCAAAGAGTTCCAGCAATTATCTGGAAATCGGTCCTGCTTGAAACTAAGGATATTTGTTGTCACTGCATTGATTGGGGGGCAGATCTTGTTTATTCAAATTATGGTCTGATCCTGTGTCTTCGTATTTGGAAACAAGACCCACTAATTTAAATGGGACTTTCAGTGTCATTATATGTTCCCACATCACCAGTATTCCAGATAAGTATGAGTTCCATTATATCATGTTTATGGTGGAAATGGGAATGTGTCACCGATCCCACTTATTGTAGCCTTGTACATTTCTATCGAATGCCCAACAATTATATCTTAGGAGGCTGTGTGGATCCTTGCACTTTAAAAATCAGTCATGTCTCAGTGGGGCAGAACTTTGGTTAATTTTATAAGGCAAGAATTTCAAATAAGGTGGACAAAGAAAACGGACTTTCGTCCTATTTTCTTTGGCTGCTGAACCATGGTGATTTTGTGGGCTTGGGAGTCCCTTGCATAGGGTAATTAAAGCTTATTTCCCCATCAATTCGACTCTTAGGAAGGGTTACCCCCAAGGGCTTTTCTGTTTTGGAATTCGGTTGGGTTTTGAAAGGTAAAAGCTTTGCTTTGATTTAATAAGCTCAAACAAACATAGTCACCTTTGAATGCGTCCTTTAAATATGAAATTTGAATAGCACAATTTAAAATCCAGGGCAGGTTAATTCAATACATTCACTCTAAAGGGCAGTTTTTCTCAGAAACAGATTTCCTGTATCTCTTGGATGTTACTTAGTAAAGTTTGTACTAGGATCAATAGATACTCGTTAAAATTCTGCTTGTTGGGGCGGGGGGATCTGAAATTTTAAATTGTGTGAATTACTTCGGTTTCATCCCCTATCATTCTCAATCATTAGGTCAAATAAGAGTGAATTCAAGATCGTATTTCAGAGTCACAGGTTCGCTAGCTCTGCAAACATACCTAGGAAAGAATAAGTTCTGACCATCCCCCTTTGAAAGCTAAACTATCAACCAAATCCAGTTGACCTCTACTCAGTCAAACCTCTCTAGATCCCACAGAAATCCCCCGCACATCACTTCCTCCCAGAACGCCGGCCGATCCCGAAACTAGACTTACCCAGAGGCTTAAGGGTGTTTTCGGGGCTTTCTTTCTCTTTGGGGTTTCCGCTTGACATGAGCGCTGCGATGGAGAAGGCGTTCGCACGGGAGGAGAGCTGAGGTTTGGGTGACATGGTGTACTCCATGACTCCGAGACCGCAGTGCCTAAAATCGCAAAACCTAGTCACCTCTGAGTACTTTTCCTTTTTTCTGCACCGGTCCCGGCGTCAGCCCAGGCAAAAGGGAAGAGACCAAAGCCGACCCGCGGAAATGGCAGCACTGGAAGAGAGCCGGGCAGTTATGCGGTGCTCATCTTTTCCCCGAACCCAGAGCATGGGTTCGAGTTGGCGGCAATGAGCGCTAGAGATAACTCAGTGGAGCAGCCCCTAGCTCCTCCGCATTAATTTGTTGGCCGCCTAGATCCTATCGGCTGCCAGCCAATCAGCGCCTGGCTACGTCAGGACTCCCTGATCCCACCAGAGGGGAGAGAAAGGGGAGGGGAGGGGGGAGGGGAAGGACAGGGGACAGGAGCGCTCTAAGCTCGGCTCTGGTTGAAACAAAACTGGCTCGTGGAGCAAGATATTTTGGATCCGAATTAGCTCAGCCGGGCAACTGAAGACACGAAATGGGTCTGGTTTTTCGGAGCTGCTTTGCGGGAAATCAAGTACAATTGAAGTATCCCTTTGGATCGGTCAAACCGACTAAGCAACCAACTACTTCATGCAAAGTAGCTCCACCCGCTTGCTCAGACCAAACGCATCTGGGCTCGGGGTTTGCAGTCAGTGTCAACTTCTCAGTAATTCTTGCTATGCCTAAAGCAGAGATCACGTAGGCAAGATTTAAAATACATCTTCTTCCCATGGAAATCAACAATGCCCCAGTCCCGCCTAAGAAGTAACTCAGATTTCAGTCTGAAGATCTCATTTCTGGAGGGTTTCTTCCTACCTTGTCCTACCCTTTACATCAAACACACATGCTACTCGTTTATGGAACTAACCAATGCACATATTAGGCCAACAGAACAACTATGAATAGGTTGTAAGAAGCTAGCTATGGAGGAAAATGGAGTCAGTCTTACAGATGTCTGGTTAGTGTTCCTTAGTTAACCACTGTTAAGTTAGCTGCAGCTCCTATAAATAGAACGTGTCCCAACTTCTATTCAAATCGGAACGAAAGCTTTTCCTGAAGTATGTTTACAACTTTGCTTCAAATGAGAAAAAAATGGATTCAATTGTCTCATGTAGAAGATTCTTTTTTGGGGGAAGAAGTATTATATGATTTCATGAACCTGCATGAGTCAGTAAATACTCCGGTCTTTCTGATGGATCCCCACCACCAACTGCTTGGCCATCATATCCCGCACACTCAGAAGTAATATTTAAGATACAATTGAACTATAGTTTTCACTTAATAAGGGAAAAAATGCAAGGATTGTTGGAGGCTGTTGTTCCTCACCATCTTTTTATTTTTAATGATCTCATAAAACAAAATAAGGCTTCTTGGATGATTAACACACATGTTCTGGAAAGGAACTATAGTAAATAAAATGTGATTTTTCTGCTGCACTACCAGGCAGTTTTTTTAAAAAAATTTGATTTATATGCCGCCCTTCGCCGGAGACTCAGGGCGGCTTACAATGCGTTAAGCAATAGCCTTCATACTTTTGTACAATTATACAAAGTCAGTTTATTGCCCCCATAATCTGGGTCCTCTGGGTTTATGGATCTTTATTTTATAGAAGGTTCTTATTCCTAAATAAATTTCTTGAAGATATTTTTCCGATTTCTAAGATAGCTGAACGTATTATACCTAGTATAATTTTTAAAAAATTAAACCATCTTGGTATTTTAAGTTTCAAAGTTGTAGATAATTCCAGTCCTAGATTCCAAGTTGTTTAAATTGCAACCCTTTGCACATTTATTCGAATTAGCAACCTAATTCGGCAGACTTGCTTTCAAGGAGAGAGCAGAAAAATACTCTTTAAATTCTAAGGGAATCGTGTGCATGCGGTTTGGAAAGAATTCATGATACCCTGAATCTCAAATGAACACATCGCTATTTTTACCATCGATATGTTACAAACGGCCGATATATCTTACAAACGCAGAAAATGAGCCGAGTAAACGACAGTTGAATTAATCGTGAGTTAGAGTCCAGCCAATGGATTCCCCTTCCATAAATTTCGCTGGGTTGGTCCTCTGCCCGTTTTAGAATAACGGCGTTGCTTGAAAGTACAAGGGTTACCGAGATAATTTCTCTGCTTGGGTTGTCCCTATGCTAACTTTGAGGCTATTGCCAACTGACTCGAATGCTTCTCTTGCTAATGAGCCCGATGCTTTCAACGGAAGAAATGAAAGTGCCCTCTCTTTTCTTTCAACAGCCCTTTCCCTGGGCCACTTTTAACGAATAGCAGCGCTCCTGCCTTTCCTGAATTGCGCGTCTCGGAATGTACAGTATCTGGGAAACGTAGATAACTTTCTTTTGCCCCAAAAAACCAATGAGCTGCAACTCTCCGAGTTTTTCTTTGTTAAAGGGGTCCACGCAGCAATTAAGCTTCATGTTTAATTCAAAGAATTTAAAACTGTTTGCAACTGATATGCATCTGTCCTCCCCGCTTCGTATTTCCATTCTGATCCAAAGATGGTTTTCAAAATGCAATTGGACTTTGTTTTTCTTACCTTGAAAACGTTTTGCTTCTCACCCAAGAAGCTGCTTCAGTTCGCTTCTTTGGATGAAAAGAGAAACTTTTTCAAGGAAAAACCCAAGAACGTCTAGTTGCCTTTTGAAAAGTACCTTTGAGACAACCACGACATGGCTGATTGGGAAATGACTATGGAGGTTCTCAGTTTGACTTTTCAAGGCAAGAATTAGCTAGTCTTGCGCTAAATTACTAAGTAATTCAGCATTAAAAGATTATGAAGATTACTTCCTAAATCAGCACTTTTAATGGGACTTCAGCCACAAGTTGAGTACTCGAAATCTTTCCATCTTCCGTAACAGGTCTTTAGCCCTTGGAAGATAGAAAAGGAGATGAGGGCTGAAATGGACTTGTTCTACCTTTCTCTTTGGAGGAATCTGCAGTTTCCAGCAAATGAAACGTCTGCAAGAAAACAACCAAGCTCAGTGGCCAGGTTTTACACAAGAGAGCCAATTCCAGGCAGAATTCTAGGTCAAAAAACCTTCGGTCTCAAATTTTTGCTGTTTTGACTTCCACAAAAATTAATCCCTCAAACTGATACTTCCAGTGGGCCCAATCTCAAGTGCTTGGATTGAAAGACCTAGCAAGAAAATGTAAAGATTTTGGAGCCATGCTTCCTCATCAGTAAGAAAAACCCACCCTTGCAAACTATAATTTTTTGGTGACACCTGAGTGTCACCTAGGGACACTGGCTTCCATCAACAGCCTTAATGAATCTATTTCAGTTAAAGCAGTTTTTAAAGTAATATTTATTTAAATATGAAGAGTGTGTTTTATGATAAAGCCATGGACTGTATTCACACATCAATGTAACCAATTATTTCCTTTAACCCTGATTTGTTTACTAAACATTTGACTAGGTTGAGATAGTTAGGTTAGGTTAGATAAGGTTAGATAAGCCCTAAAACTATGTCTGAGTGAAATACAATGGCTGACTTTAACCAGGACACTATATCAAAACCTGCTGAATCACATTATACAGATGCGACCCCACCAATGATGGGTTGTTGTTGTTGTTTGGCTAGTGTTAAGGCTAAAATTCTGCAAATCTCACCCACTGAAATGAGTGGGCCATATTTTTGATAGTACAAGGCAGCTGCCTTATGTGCAATGAAAGGCACATCTGCCAAGCAAGAGGCAGAATTCACTTGTCAGAATAATGCCAGCCTTACTGGCTTTAAGAAACAGATCACCAAAAATTGTATTCTTGACTGAAGCAGAATCTCCAGATCTCCCCTTTCAGGCACTGCTGACTTTCCTTACATAGACAGACCCCTGGAAAAGGAACACAAGGATAAAGCCGCTCTTGCCCCCCTAGGAAGAATTGCAGGCAGCTAGTATCTTGCATTTCATCCGGAATCTTTTGAAGAACTCAAGATGGCAGAAACCGAACATGTTTAGCAAATTGTACTTGTCCATGCCTTCAGCTCAGCTAGTTGAAGGTGTCAGTTCATCTGGGTTGCATGAGTTATCCAGGGTTACTTGGTATTCCCAGTTTGGTGGGTGAGAATCACATTTCCAGTGCAGTTTAGTTCTTATCAATATTGTGAAAGTCTGTAAACATCAAATTATTGTGTCCCAAATGGAGATGTTTCTGGACTTGCATTTAATCTGATTACATGGACAGAAATAGATGGAAATGCCACCTTTATTATTCTAAAAACATTACAGTTTGGGCAGGATCATCCAATGCCACTGAGTAGTGGGCTTCTAACAGGTGTGCAAAAGATACCTTTCTTTCCCAAGTGTTTGGACTACATGGGGATTCCCAGGATCCCTAGGCAGCAACTGGTCATATTGCATTGATTAACTATCATTGTATCCAAATATCCAACAGTTTGGATATCAGTTTGGGTATAACTTGAAATGGTTTACCTCTGCTGAGCTTTCCACCTTCCCATCCATTGTTTTTGCATCTGATTCTACACATTATGCAGAATTCTTAATTGTTTTGACCTTATACACTTTCATTAATATTTTTTATATATCTGCAATCTTCAAGGCATTGTTCGATTTTTTATAATGTACTGCACAACAAATTGTCACTTTAACATAGGATGTTATGAAAACTCAGACAGTCCCATGATTGCTTTTGGTTCAATGGAAACACAAAAGATCAGATTAAATAAACCAGATAAAAATGCATTTAAAAAAAAAAACATGGATAGCAAGGAAGAGATACAAAGTAAAACAAAAATTGGGGGCAATAATGATCCTCCTTTTCCTGTGTTAAATGTTTTTCCTGTTTTACTATTCTGAACTTCACAGAATCTGATTATTTGGTTTATTGACTGGATAATTATCCCACTTTTTCATTATTGTTAACCATCCAGTTTGCCTCCACTTAGTCAATCATAACTGTTTTGTGTCTAATGATGTTCCTTATCACAGAATGAAAGCGAAGAAACAGGATTAAGGGGAATCTGCTGAATGTGTCTGAAATTCTATTTTCTTGTCAAGATGTTAAATTTTGGGATTTGAAAAATTAAAAAAAGGTTAGAGAGATTTTTTTTAAAAAAGGTTAGATATATTTTTGTGAACTGCTTCAAATCATAACCACCTCCTCCTTTTCTGGAACTTAAGCAAATGCATGACTCAATCAATCTTTATTATGGTTATAGACCAGCAAAACA